GTGTGTTTGAACCACCAGCCTTCTGGGTAGCAATCAAATGCCTTAGACACTATGCCACCAGAGCTCCCTATCAAAACTACAATGAGATAGCATCTCACCCCTGCAAAAATGGCAATGCTCAAAAAAACAGAAACTGCTGGCAGGATATGTGGGATTGAAACTCTTATACATAGCTGGTGAGGTTGTAAAATTGTACACCCACTATAGAAAACAGTATGGTGTTGCCTCAAAAAGCTAGAAATATCTTATGATCTAGCAATCCCACCCCTCGATATATATCCTAGAGACATAAAAACAATGACTTGAATAGACATATGCACACCTATGTTCATTGCAGCATTATTCACAATAACAAAAAGATGGTAACCACCCATCAATGTATGGATAGATAAACAAACTGGTACATACATACATACAATGGAATACTAAACGACTATGTAAAATAGTGGAGTCCACAAAACATAACATGAATTAATCTGGAGGACATTATGCAGAGTGAAATAAGTCAATCACAAAAAGACAAAACTTGCATGGTCCCAGTATTGTAAAAAGTCAAGAACAGATATTCACATAGACAGCAAAAGTTCTTGATAGTTACCAGAGATGGGAGGGAGCCACTTTATGGATAGTAGTAGGCAGTTGTTACTTTTGGTGATGGAAAAGGCAGTTCTAAACATGGGTGAAATCAGCACAACTTGAGCAAGGTAAATAAGGATACTAAGGCGTACGTGGTTATGTGGGTAGACGGTTGTATATATGTGTATAGGAAGGCATCTGGTAGTAAATGCACATACATGTACAGGTGTATCTGTAGGTATATGTATACACATGTTTGTGCTGCGTATTGTCCACAAACCACATAGAGGGCCCAGCTACAGAGTCTTCCTAGACATATCCAAACAACTCATGGGATTGGTTGACTGGGTCAAAAGGCTCAAGACTGTAGTCTGGGAGAACAACTCAGTCCACTGTTGTAACATAGTTCACAAAAGTAATGTTCTATATCCAAGTTTGGTGAGTAGCATCTGGGGTATTAAAAGCATGCATGTGGCCATCTAAGATGCAACTCTACTCAGATGGAGCAAAAGAGAATGAAGAAAATCAAAGGCTTAAAGAAGAAACTAGTCCACGAGACTAATAGCCCATGTGAGGGACAGCCTCTTCAAACCAGAGACCAGAAGAAGTAGATGGTGCCCAGCTTCCATTACCGACTAGCCTGACCTGGGTCATAATAGAAGATCCTGAATAGAATGTAGAATGGGAGAAAAATGTAGAAAAAAATTCAAATTCCTGAAGGCCAGACTGACTGGAGCTATTGAGAGTGGAGGAACCCTGAGACTATCACCCTAAGACAGCCTTTGAACTTGGAATTGAAGCTATTTCTGAGGGTCACCTTTCAACCAAATAATAGATTGGCTTATAAAATAGACAAGTATCACCCGTGAGTAATGTGGTCCCTTAAACAATGAACCATGTGAGAACAGATGGTCAACAAGTACTCAAAAGCAAGGATGTGATGGACAAGGAGGGGAAGGGAAGCTAGATCAATGGAAACAGAACAAACAGAGTGGAAATGACAAGAATGCTGACACATTGTAAAAATTGTAACCGATGGCGCAGAACAATTTGTATAAAAATTGTTAAAGGGGAATCTAATTTGCTGTGTAAACTTTCAGCTACAACACAATAAAACAGTATTTTTTTTTTTTAAGTCATATGGTCGTTTTTTGCTTTATTTCCAGATTTTGAAGAATTTTCCAACATATGGGTGATTTGCTTTGCATGGTCCCAACATCACACACCTACAGGGAGTGTGTTTCTTCCTCTTTAAGTCAAGCTGAAAGAGGTTAAAGAGAAAGAGCCCTGATCCCTGGAGGGTGTGAGACATGAAAGAACATAATTATTATGATAACAATAGCTAGTACTTACTGACTCTTACTAGATGCCAGGCACTGGGCTAAATAAACATTTTCCAGGTGTCCTACAGAACCACAGATCTACACAGTGCTAATCAGACGTGCAGAAAAAATGTTAGTTGCTGTCAAGTTGGCCCCAACTCATTGTAACCTTATGCAT